ATACAGCGGCCACACTGCATATATCTTTATCAACCTCTTGGCGACGCTGGCTACGACGCGCCTAAAGCGACACCGATCTCCCCGACTTGTGACGGTGAAGGTTGAATGTATCACCTTCCACCACCCTCACCACAGAGCCTCCTCCCTGGTAAAGGTTTGGTATAGGTTCGGTAAAGGTTCTCAGGAGGTATTTGGTTGGTATTGGCTCTGTGGTGGGGCAGCACATGTTTCCTCCACGTTTGCAAAGTCTTCATTTCCTTTGCATGCTATCTTCACTTCCGTCTACTAACTTTGTTTTTTCTTATACTTGCAGATCTTAATGGAGGCTGCTACGCGTATTTCCTAAGATTTCAGAGGAGCAACGGCCTTCGGAACAACAGAGGAGCAGCTCCACGAATGAAGGTTGAAAGTATCAACCCCACCCTCCACACTGCACAGAGCCACCCCCTGGTTGAGGTTAGGTACAGGTCCAGGTGTGGTAAAGGTCCCCCTGAAGGTTTTTTCGGTTGGTATTTGGCTCAGCAACACATGTTTTTTTCCACGCTTCTTCTCGTTTTGCATGCTTCTATGCCCGACCTTTACTAATTCTGATTTATTTTCGTTCTTGCAGGTTCTATTGAGGGTCTTCTGCGCTCTTCGGCTTGCTAGGGCTGTTCTATTACCGTATGAGACCTTCCACCTCAGCGTCACAGATTTCGCGGCCTCGTCGAACGTGAGGTGAAGTGCACACGTTTTGCTAAACGTGCACATGAACATTTAATTGTGAGTTGGACCTCAGTTCAGTGTCCTAGGGTTTTACCAAAACCTGAGCTCCTGTTTATGAACGTCGCAAATTACACGTACGAGATTAGCGAAGCAGGTTACCAGCTAAAGGTCGACCCTTTTTTCGAACTTGGACCAGCAAGGACACGCGCCCTTAGAGCGGCTTGAGACAGCGCCCACGGCTGTATATAGGGGGGATCACATGATATTAATATTATTCAAGAGATGACGGTGGCCAGGGCCTTAGAAGTCAGCAAAAAAAGGCTGATTTAGGTTAAAAAGGCTGATTTTTCAGTGTTGGGGAGAATGTGGGGCTGACTACTCAGCTTTATTTTTAATGGATGGGCTGATTATTCAGCTATATTTTTTTGTGTATGAGCTGATACTTCAGCGTTTTCTTAGAGGTGTACACTGATTGATCAGCGTACTAACGGGGGTGTAGGCTGAAATCCCACTAGTGGAGATTCGAGCAGGTGCCGAGAATTTCGGATGTCTAGGTTCAGCCACCGTCAATCATGCACAATTTGCCAGCTACAGCGCCGATGCACCGGGAAATGGCATCTTTCCAACACGTTGCTTGCACTGTTGTCGTCGTCAGAAGGCATCTTGATGTGTGATTGGCTGTGTAGGCAATCCCATCACTTAGTGGCGAACATAAAGTTAACAGCACAACACATTTCAGCACAGCACCGCACAACGTTGCCCAGCGACATGGATCCCCACCTCACCCACCCTGAACCTGCAACGAGGTACATGCACGATGCTTATTGTCGAGTCGCGTTGCACCAGGGTACTAAAAGGGGACCAACTGACCCTCCTTCCCCAACTCGTTCTTGGATACCCCTCGCCAGCTGCAATCCCACACCCACCCTCGCCTGCGGTTTCATTCCCGTTCCTCTCAATTCAGAGCTCGGCACGCTCTCTCGCCCTCGTTCAGCCATGGTTGGCCATGACGAAGGCCTCTCTGACAACGATGGCGCAGCCGATTTAGACGACCCGGATTTAGACGCTATCTGGGAAGCCCGGACGGGGCTAGATTTGCTTCTTCGCTCACTAGGCCGGGATAAACACGCACCACCGCCGAATACACCTGGACCTGTTCCAATCGTCGCTGAGGAGAAACCAGGCATTTGTTCAAGCCCGGATTCTATCCGGGCTGAACATGCTGCGCCGGCTAGAGTGTCCAACACGGTGGTTGTCGAGACTACTGCATCGAAGTCAACCGCGCCGCTCACATTCAAGCTCAAGCAGTCCAGGCTGAGTTTCGCAAGGGCATCCTCAAGCGCCACAGTAGAGCAAGCTGTCAAGAACAACTCCAACTCTCACCCGTCCCTTAACCTCAATATTGCATATGTATCCGATGCAGTCTATGCCGATGCTCTCGAGAAGTACAAAACGTAGTGGTCAGAACGATTTCCGTGGCTGGTACTAACTAAAACTTCCGCTGGTCTGCTTGCTTTCAAGTGCAGTGTGTGCGCCAAGCATGCTGGAGTGAGGGGATGATGTGGTAGGACAGGAAAAGGGGCAATTGACGTCCAGGCGCATGCGTTTTGCAAGCACGCCGGGACGACAAAGCACAAGCTTGTAATGGAAAAGCAGGAGGCACTACTAACTGCTGCGTCTAAGCAGCCACGCATGGATGAGCATCGTACAACTGTCGATGTTGAGAAGACTCGTATGGTTGCCCTGCTCGACGCGCTTCTGTTCGTTAGTCAGTGCGACGCACCCATGGGAACATGGGTGAAATTGGTGCAATACCTTGCGCGGAAGGGGTTTCATGGCTTTCCCAAGAAAGGTTACGGCACCTACTACACCACGTGAGTACGACTCTGGTATGTTATTCACTGTTTTCTATTAACATCGACTCTTATGCTAATGTTTTCTTTGGGTTCAATGGCAGGTACGGCTATGGAGAGCTCACGCAGTCTACTGCAACCTTGCTACAGACAACCTAGCTGGAGCATATCTTGAGAAGCCCTTTCATCGGCATCAGCATCGATGAAAGTACCGATCGATGCAGGGGGAAGCATCTGATACTTTGCGCCGCCTTCATTCGCGACAACGTGCTCGTGACGGAGTTCATGCAGCTGATAACTGTGGATACACCTGACGCCTCGTCTCTTTTGAGCATCCTGCTCTCTCACTTGCAGGCTGTTGGTGTCGACTTGCAGCGGATTTCGGGCATCAGCACCGACGGTGCGTCTGTGATGATGGGGAGTCGAGCGAGCCTGGTTGTTTGCCTACAAGAGAGGATCCCACACCTCGTCTCGTGTCACTGCATCGCCCACAGGTGCGTGTGCGGTTTCCACGTAATGTTTTTTCCTTTATACTGACGTACCTTTCCGTTGTGTTAATATTTTGCAGGGAGGCGCTCGCAGCAAAGGACGCGACAGAAGCACTTCCGGTCTTTGACATGGTGGACGACCTCATCCGGGCGGTCTCTGAGCTTCTGGGACGGTCCGGTCCACGCCATAAACGGTTCACGGACCTGCAGGAGCTCTTCACCGAGACGAGCCTTGAAGTCCAAGGCATTCACCAGATTCGCTGGCTGTCTCGGGGGAATTCTATCCATCGCATCCTTGTTGTGCTTCCGGCAGTGATTGTCTTTAAGAAAGAGTGCCACAGCATGATGTATGTGCTCGCCACTTCCTACAGGTTTCAAAAAAAAAAAAAAAAAAAAAAAAAAAAAAAAAAAAACTTCGTGGCTGATGTGCTTGAGCAGTTGAACATCTTGAACAATATGTTCTAGCAGCGACAGGTGAGGATATGATGTTGCGCAGTCCAGTTGGACCTTGTCTCTCTCTGCACGCGCAGATCAAGCGGACGACCTCACACATTGAGAGCCGCTACGTCGACTGTGGGGACGACTTCGGCGGTGGCATGAGAAACTGGCTCTGGCCCTTTCTGGAGCGCCATGGTCCTAGAAGCAACCGCAACGTGACAGTGGAGGGGGTCGACTCTGACGGTCATCCCGCATCATTTACCTTTACACTTCATGACGACCCCGTGGATGGATACAGTTGCTCCGAGCATCACGAAGGATGCATCGACCTGTGCACCGACTTTGCCGAACGCATCGTGTCGAACCTGGAGAGGAGGCTGGGTGACCTGGAATCGCTCTCTGGAGTGAGACTTTTCATGCCTGATGCTTGGCCACAGGGCAAAGCAGATCGACATGCACGATGCCTGGAGTGGCTTCAGTCGTTGATGATGCTGTTCAAGGCACAAGAGTCCGAAGAGATCCTTCCTGGTAATGTTTGTATCTTTATCATGTATGTTCTACTGCCATGCTCGTCGTCTCAATTCTATACCCTATGCACTAACATACTACTTTGTTTGCCCCTCCCCAAACCCTCTTGTGACACTTCCAGGAATCAATAACAGGCGGGCCTCACAAGGGAGAGAGGTCATTTCATGCCGGCCTCACAGCGATTTTGAAGACATCGGACCGGCCGGAGAGCCACCCCAATCTCGTGCAGCTGTAGGTAGCGGTGGCCATGATTCCCCTGAACACTGTGGAGTGCGAAAGGGGCTTTGCGCGCCAGAATGTTATCAAGTCGTGGCTTCGAAGTGGGCTCAAGGATGCGAGGCTGGGAAATCTGATGTGTATGTCACTGATGCAGTATGAGCCACAGTACGATGAGGTGGTTGAGATCTGGAGGAGCTACAAGAAGCGCAAGCCGTTCTCTAATGCCCCTATTTCCACCCCAGGTGACACCAGCAAGAAAGACAAAGAACACATGGGGGTAGATGATGGCGAGCCTGTAGATGCTGCCATTGGTTGTTCATCTAGTGATGAGGATGATGATATGAGCTGAGCAGAGTCCCTGTAATGTCCTTCTATCAATGCCGAACTTCATGTGCTTGTATTGCGGTGTAGAAAAGGTTCGAGTCGAGCCATGTCCAGACTTTTTTTTTTTTTTAACGAGGCTGATTGATCAGCCTTTTTTTCTGAAGGAAACACTGAAATTTCAGCTCTTTTTTTTTTCAAAGCAACACTGATTAATCAGCCTTCAGCTGACTCCTAAGGCTGGTAATTCAGCCTAGGCCAAAACGAATCTGAGGCCCTGACGGTGCCTCAAGTGTCAGGATGCACATGACGTGACTGCATTCCACTGCTACCGTGCTCCTGAGCTGTATATTTGTGGAATGCAGCAGAATCCTGGTTGCAACAGCACGTCACAACAAGATTCCTCCATCGTAGCATGAACACGGACGGCATGTCAGTGTTATACCTACTAATCACGACGGAGCACAAGGAGCGGTTGGACAATGTCGGCTTTAACATTCTCGCGGTAAAGGCGTTCCAGGCTGCTAACCCCAAAGACGTCGAGCAGGTGAAAGCCTGCGATGAGCAGCGGCATGCGGATGGGCCCGTAGATGCGATGGCGATTGAAGACCAGCGTGTCGTTGCCCGTGGGCACGCCCAGGAACAGCAGCCCCCCTGGCTTCAGTAACCCCTTGATCTGGCGAGGGACAACAGGAGTGGCGGGAAAAGGGCGTGCATGGAAAGAACCACCCACAGCGTGGCATTGGGAGGTGAAAGGGTAGGAAGGGCTGGAGTGCTGGAGAAAATGCTGGAGCATGAACGAACAAGAGCAACATACTACCCTAGCAACGAGGTGCAGCTCCCCCTCCTCCGTGCCTCATGCATACCAAAAAAGCCAATGCGGATCATGTTGTGCCAGCACGCCACACCCCAGCTTGCTCCGCCACAGCCCACCTTGCACCGCACATCCCACACTGCCCCACCCCAGCCCACCTTCTGCATGCGTTGGAGGTCGCCGTTGGGGTTGATGGGGTCGCCGTAGCGGCCGAGCCCATCATGCTCGAGCGAGGAGAAGGAGACGGCGGCGTCCCACGTCTCGCTGCTGCCCTCCAGCTCGCCCACCACCAGCTGCCGCAGCTTCGGATGGGACGCCACGGGCCGGTTGAAGTCCACCGTCGTGATGGCGTGTGCATCGAAGCCCAGGCAGATCGCCTCCACCCACGGCCACTGGCTGCCCACCACCAGCACACTCTTCTCAGCCAGCGGGTACTTCTCAAACGCCGAGTAAAACGACCCCGTCACGTTCGGCCCGTACGACCCGAAGCCCGTGTCGCGGCGCCGGGCCATGGCGGCCTGCTGGTCGATGCGGCTGGTTGTCCACTCGTACGCGTTGGCGCCCGAGTCTGCCGCGTCCTTGTTCAGAAACTGGTTGATCACCTGCCAGAGGGACGCAAGGGGTTGGTGTCACTCAGTGCACAAGTGCTGCTATACCATGTGCATTCTCACAGTGTTGCTTCCTCACTGTGCATTCTGCATATCGTAGCCGCTAGTATCGCGCAATGGCTGCTCAAAACACCAGCGCATCCGCTCTGAAGGCCGCACCCGCCCGCCTTTCCCCCCTGCCCTGCACGCTACTCACTGCCCTCTCTTCCCCCAGTTCCAACCACCCGGCCCCACAGACCATGTGTGCGTGCCCTCTTCTTCTCACGCGCCGGTCTCCCTCGAGTGAACCCAGTGAACGATCCGCCGCTGGCTGAACCATCAGCAAAGCCGCTGCCTCCTTCCAGCGAAATGCGAGGTCCCTGCAAAGGCCGAATCCCTGATCCGCCTCGAAAGAACCCCCCGTTTTGGCGCCGCAGTGGGCTAGGGCGCGGGGGGCACGGGGAGTGATGTTCGCACCTGCACGTGGCCGTCCAGCGTAAACTTCTGCTGCACGCTCTCGCGGATCCACTCCCATGGCACGGGGCCCGGCAGCCCGAAGTTGCTGATCAGGAACCGCGTGCTCTTGCCATCCCCCGTCGCCGATGCATCTCCGCTGCCTTTGCCCCCCAGCAATGCCACTGCGGTATGGTGCGGGGCATCGGCGGCGAGGAGGGGTGCGGGGCAGGGAGGGCCCGGGGGGGAATACGAAAGCTGGAAGTTGGCATGAGTTTTTTTTTCACGAGTTGCGGCCCGATGCGCAGTCAACGCGCTTCATGAAGCGACTCGCTGGTGGTGAAGCACGGATGCGCGGCGGGAGGCCGTATCATGGGACTGGGCGCAAGCACGCAGTGCTACAAAAACGGCCTGTTTAGAATAACCTAAAGTGTCAGTTCCAGAAGTAACTTTTGGGTCAGATTTTATAATGACCCGAATGTTGCCCGAAAGTTACGTGGGGGTCCCTTTCGGGTCAGTACAATTTAGAGATGCGGGGGCAAGCGGGGAAGGGGGAGGCTGCTGCTCGGCAAGATGAAACGTGAATCTGGGATCGCGACGAATGAGGAGGAGGGGGGCGTCGGCTTACGAAAGTCGAAGGAGTTAAAATTGACGGCGACAGAGACGGCGAAGAGTACGGCGGAGGCCGCGAGGGCGAGGTAGGGGACGGCTTTGGACCACGAGATGGGCTTCGTGCGCTCGCGCGACGATGCACACCGCCCTGCCATTCGCACTGCGCGCCCGCCAATGCTCCGATCACTTACCCCGCGGCGCCTTACGCTGGACAACGCGCACAATAAGGGCGGGAGGGAATTACAGTACGAGGTACAGTGGGGTGCCAGCGTGGTAATGTGGGGTTGATCAAAGCAGGAGGTGGCTGTTTGTGGGTGTGCTACTGCCTACTCAGTTTGTTGTGAGGACACAGGCCTGTCGATTGGTCTGGGAGCAGAACTTGGAAGACTGAGGTGCCCCGAAATTTGCCCTTAAATTTACGTTTTGAGACAGAACCTAGCACTTTATGCGTCCGGGTCGGGCCCAAAAACTTCACTTAGAATCAGGGCTACAAAGTGTAATGCACTTTCGCTAAAGAATTTCACCTCTGGTTTGCGCTGCCCATTTCGTAGTTAATTCGTATGGGCTCGGCTGTAAAAAGGCCCATCATTGAATCCACTTGGCGGGAAATATCGCTCAAAAACACTAGAACGTTCAAAATTGGAAGCGTCGAGTACTGGGACCTTTCTTGCGGTCGAGAGGCGGAGAGAGGAATGAAGTCAATTTGGAGGAAAGGGCAGCCCCAAGTACTTTAGGAATCCAGGCTAGACTCAAATCCAGCACTTTAGGAGGACGGGCTGAGCTGAAAACCAGCCCTTAAATTCGGGATGTTGGGCTAAGCTCAACCAATAGTGTTCAGGGCATTAATGGCATTTGCCTTTGTTTTTTTCACCGACAGCCCCGACAACTTCACCATACAACATTTGTATCCTTCACACTCAACGTCAAAAGGTGATGAAGGATCCGAGCTGTAGGTGGTGGAGTCCGTCAGGAACGATCTGCATCCTGATTGGCGCGATAGTTTTTTGGTGTACGTGTTGGTGAAAAAATCATGCAGTTCCCCGCCAAGGGCTCTCTCAGTCGGACCCTCACCGCAGGTTCCGACCCGAATTTGACACATATGCGTGTACACTACCAGCGCAACAGTGTGGCTAGCACGGGCATTCAGGGATTGGCTTACCTTATATTGAAACGCAGGGCCCAGTATATTAACTTATTTAGGGCTGCATACAAACGGCAGGTAACTATTAGTCACTATTTCTAATATAAACTATAACATACACTGAAGGGCAAGTGTACAAATATTAATGTCATTCGTAACTGTGCGTGAGATGCAGAAATGAGTCCCGAAAAATCTGCCGCATATGGGAGACTTATAGTGGTTTGAACATCGTCCTTGGATTAGTCCAACTTTGGGCAGAGTAAAGTTCATGTGGCTATTCCCTTTTCCTCAAGGTTCAAGTGTATGAAGGGACTAGATGAGGAAGGTATTGGGAGGAGGAGAGGCGTTAGTGGGCTGGCTCATGTATGCGGCGGTGAATACCCGACTGACGCCGCCTTTGCTACCAGGCTAAACAATGGCGGTTGTTCAATGCCCTAATGAGGAGCAGGTAGCAGCTAGAATGAGGACCAAACAGTGGTTGGGCTGCAATATTTGATGGCGGCACAAAGGCATCAAAAGGGCGCAGATTGTGTTGAACCTGGGCGTTTGTTCCTCACCGCCTTCTCCGATGCCTCTTGGGAATCGGAATCAGATGACATCACACGTGTGGGATACTTTATATGTTGGGTTGGTGGAGGCCCAACTGCTTGAGAGAGGAAGAAACAGGTTGATCAAGCCTTGAGCTCGGTGGAGTCCGTATACATGACACTCTTTCGCGCCATTTGGGAAGTTGTGTGGCAGCGGCGTTTGTTGGCTGAGTTGGGGGAGGATCAACAAGTGTTGACGTGAGTTGGCCCTGCCCTCGCTTGGGCTAAGCCGACTTCGTGGTCGGGTGCCCGGGAGGTGCAACCGACTGCACTCAGTGGTCGACGCCGACTTGGGCGAGGAAGTCGACGGCTTTGGTCGACTTCCGCGGGACCACTGCGAAGCCGCCGGACGAGGGAGGTCGCCGGCCGACATCGACTGATGTGGTCGACGAAGGGATTCGTCGACCAGTGGGGACGCCGACTTGGTGAAGTCGGCGGGCGGCTTCGACCTGGCAGGTCGACCAGGGAGTGCATCACTTTGCAGGCTCCGACTGCCTAACAAGTCGGCGCCAACTACGGGGTTTCCCAGTCGACCGAGTAATGCGGGCGACGAGGTTCTGCGGGGGTGCGCGAATGTCGCCCAGGTAGTCATGGCGAAGTCGACCGACGTGGTAGCACGTGGGCGACATGGTAACCGTCGGCACGTAGCCGACTTGGCACATGCGCACTGTGCGTGACGGTGCATGTCGTGCTCAACAGTCTACAAGCACCTACGGAGTAGGTGCACGCATGTGCGATATTGTCACATGCGGTTGCAACGCTTGCAGGCCGCTCTGCTGCAGCGTTGGCAAGCCACCTTGGTGCAGCGCTTGCTGGCCGTCGACTTGCTATGTTGGCAAGCCGCCTTTCTGCAGCGTTGGCGCGGTGTCAACTTGCAGTACTAGCAGGTCGCCGACTTTGCTGCGCTGCGGTCGACCTGCCTGTCTGTTAGGTTGCCTTGCATCTGATGTAGTCATTCTTGTTATTATTCTTGCATCATTGTTCTCCAACTTTCTTTGTGAAACTCTTGCGGTTTTGCCCTGTGAACACGCAAGTGCTAGAGAACACGAGCAAACGCTACGATCACTCGTACCACCCGTGCTTTCCCCCATGGTCTTGATCCCGGTGTAGAGTGACTCTCCGCAACAATGACCTACCCCGCTCTATTAGGACAGCCAGGGTGCCATTGCATAGCTAAGAACCCTCTGTTGCACGGCCTCACCAAGCACATGAAGGTGAAATGGCATTGGGTGAGGAGCATAGTGGTCGCGGGTCTTCCTTACGAGCAGTCTTAGGCTTCCTGAGCTACTACCGCCGCTTCGTACCGAACTTCAGCAACACGACGGCAGTACTGAATAGCTGTTAAGAGAAGAGAAGCCATGGCAGTGAGAAAAGGAGGTGCAAGAAGCGCTAGCAGCGCTGATCGAGGCAGTGAAGACAACGACCGTCTTGTCGCTGCCAAGCAAGGACGACCCATTCATGCTCTATACGGACTAGAGTAGTTCGGGGATGGGGGCAATAATGTGCCAGGAGAGAAAGGGGGAGGAGAAAGTCGTGGAGTTCGCGAGCAGGAGTTGCAACCCATCCGAAGCCAATTACAACTCCTATGAAGAGGAGGGGTTGGCAACAGTGTTGGCCATCATGCACTTCAGGGTGTTCTTGCAGGGAAGACCCTTCACATTAGTGACTGACCATCAGCCGTTGACATGGCTGATGATGAACCAGGCATTGACGGGGAGGAACGTGCGGTGGGGGATGCGGCTATAGGAATACGACTTTGTCATTCGGCACCACCCGGGGAAGACTTAGCCGGAGAAATGCCACTGAGCAGAAGGGGAAAGCGATATATCTTGATCATGATAGAACACGACAGCAAGTGGGTGGAATTGAGAGCGATGCCCAGCAAGAATTCGGCAAGGATAGCCGAGGCGATCAAAGAGCAGGTACTGACTAGGTTCGGCGCATGTGGAGAAGTCTTAACTGATCAAGGGAAAGAGTTCCAGGGACAGTTTGAGAAGATACTCAAAGCAATAGGAATAACCCACAGACGGACATCCAGGTACCACCCGCAGAGCGACAGCCTGACCGAGAGGTTCGTTCAGACTATAAAATGAGGACTGAGGGCTTACGAGGAAAGGTACAAGAGAGACTGGGACCATAGGCTGCCCTGTGTGGCAGCCGGCTACCACTTCAGCAAGCAAACTACCCTGAGGGATCTCTCCCCATATTTCCCACTGCTGGACAGAGAACATGTATTGCCCGTGGACGCACCAAAGCTGTTGACAGACACCGTGACTGCGGGGCCAGAGGAGAAGTGGGTAGCCGTAGAAGAGGCGAGGGCGAAGTATCTGAGAGAATTGTTACCAGCGGCCTTGGAGAACCTACATTGGCACAACTAAGTGATGCACAGAGATACCAGAGGAGAGGAGAGAAGGCAGGCGGATGAGAGGAGAAAGGAGTGGAGCCAGGAAAGGAAGTGTACCTACGGCATGCTAAGAATAACCTGCTAGATGTGGGGCTAACTACAGAGGTGGAGGGTGAAGGAGGTGAAGGATTCGGGAGTGGTGGTGTTAGTGAGCGAGAATGGAGAAGTGAAGAAGGACCACGTCACCAATGTGGCAATAGCACGGTCTAGAAGAGGAACAGGACCCTTCGGTGGCAAACCAAAGGGGTCCTCTCTGCCAACTGCAAGGGAGATCCATCGGCTCGAACAAGAAAGAAACAGCCAAGGAGGGGGCAAGTGAGTGGCACAGGAGGCCCGTGGGGGGGAGAAGAGTGGGGGAGGAGTGTGGTGGAATAGGCTGGGTGATTCGGAGGCAGGGAAGAGATAATGAAGTGAGGCTCCTGTCAGAGGTCCACTGGTGAT